GAGTGAGTGAGTGAGTGAGTGTGAGAGAGTGAGTGAGTGTGAGAGAGTGAGTGAGTGTGAGAGAGTGAGTGAGTGTGAGAGAGTGAGTGAGTGAGAGAGTGAGTGAGTGTGAGAGAGTGAGTGAGTGTGAGAGAGTGAGTGAGTGTGAGAGAGTGAGTGAGTGTGAGAGAGTGAGTGAGTGTGAGAGAGTGAGTGAGTGTGAGAGAGTGAGTGAGTGTGAGAGAGTGAGTGAGTGTGAGAGAGTGAGTGAGTGTGAGAGAGTGAGTGAGTGTGAGAGAGTGAGTGAGTGTGAGAGAGTGAGTGAGTGTGAGAGAGTGAGTGAGTGTGAGAGAGTGAGTGAGTGTGAGAGAGTGAGTGAGTGTGAGAGAGTGAGTGAGTGTGAGAGAGTGAGTGAGTGTGAGAGAGTGAGTGAGTGTGAGAGAGTGAGTGAGTGTGAGAGAGTGAGTGAGTGTGAGAGAGTGAGTGAGTGAGTGTGAGAGAGTGAGTGAGTGAGTGTGAGAGAGTGGAGTGGAGTGAGTGTGAGAGAGTGAGTGAGTGTGAGAGAGTGAGTGAGTGAGTGTGAGAGAGTGAGTGAGTGTGAGAGAGTGAGTGAGTGAGTGTGAGAGAGTGAGTGAGTGAGTGTGAGAGAGTGAGTGAGTGAGTGTGAGAGAGTGAGTGAGTGAGTGAGTGAGTGGAGAGAGTGAGTGAGTGAGTGTGAGAGAGTGAGTGAGTGAGTGAGTGTGAGAGAGTGAGTGAGTGAGTGTGAGAGAGTGAGTGAGTGAGTGAGTGTGAGAGAGTGAGTGAGTGAGTGAGTGTGAGAGAGTGAGTGAGTGAGTGAGTGTGAGAGAGTGAGTGAGTGAGTGAGTGTGAGAGAGTGAGTGAGTGAGTGAGTGTGAGAGAGTGAGTGAGTGAGTGAGTGTGAGAGAGTGAGTGAGTGAGTGAGTGTGAGAGAGTGAGTGAGTGAGTGTGAGAGAGTGAGTGAGTGAGTGAGTGTGAGAGAGTGAGTGAGTGAGTGAGTGAGTGAGTGAGTGTGAGAGTGAGTGAGTGAGTGAGTGTGAGAGAGTGAGTGAGTGAGTGAGTGTGAGAGAGTGAGTGAGTGAGTGAGTGTGAGAGAGTGAGTGAGTGAGTGAGTGTGAGAGAGTGAGTGAGTGAGTGAGTGTGAGAGAGTGAAGTGAGTGAGTGAGTGTGAGAGAGTGAGTGAGTGAGTGAGTGAGTGTGAGAGAGTGAGTGAGTGAGTGAGTGTGAGAGAGTGTGTGAGTGAGTGAGTGTGAGAGAGTGAGTGAGTGAGTGAGTGTGAGAGAGTGAGTGAGTGAGTGTGAGAGAGTGAGTGAGTGAGTGAGTGTGAGAGAGTGAGTGAGTGAGTGTGAGAGAGTGAGTGAGTGAGTGAGTGAGTGTGAGTGAGTGAGTGAGTGTGTGAGAGAGTGAGTGAGTGAGTGTGAGAGAGCGAGTGAGTGAGTGTGAGAGAGGTGAGTGAGTGAGTGTGAGAGAGTGAGTGAGTGAGTGAGTGGAGAGAGTGAGTGAGTGAGTGTGAGAGAAGTGGTTGAGTGAGTGTGAGAGAGTGAGTGAGTGAGTGTGAGAGAGTGAGTGAGTGTGAGAGAGTGAGTGAGTGAGTGTGAGAGAGTGAGTGAGTGTGGAGAGTGAGTGAGTGAGTGTGAGAGAGTGAGTGAGTGAGTGTGAGAGAGTGAGTGAGTGAGTGTGAGAGAGTGAGTGAGTGAGTGAGTGAGTGTGAGAGAGTGAGTGAGTGAGTGTGAGAGAGTGAGTGAGTGAGTGAGTGTGAGAGAGTGAGTGAGTGAGTGTGAGAGAGTGAGTGAGTGAGTGAGTGTGAGAGAGTGAGTGAGTGAGTGAGTGTGAGAGAGTGAGTGAGTGAGTGAGTGAGTGAGTGTGAGAGAGTGAGTGAGTGTGAGAGAGTGAGTGATTGAGTGTGAGAGAGTAAGTGAGTGTGAGAGAGTAAGTGAGTGTGAGAGAGTAAGTGAGTGAGAGAGAGAGTGACAGTGAGTGTGAGAGAGTGTGAGTGTGAGAGTGAGTGAGTGTGAGAAAGTGAAGTGAGAGTGTGAGAAGTGAGTGAAGTGAGTGTGAGAGAGTGATGAGTGAGTGTGAGAAGTGAGTGAGTGAGTGTGAGTGAGTGAGTGTGAGAAGTGAGTGAGTGAGTTGAGTGAGTGTGAGAGAGTGAGTGAGTGAGTGAGTGTGAGAGAGTGAGTGAGTGAAGTGAGTGTGAGAGAGTGAGTGAGTTATTGAGTGTGAGGAGTGAGTGAGTGATTGAGTGTGAGAGAGTGAGTGAGTGATTGAGTGTGAGAGAGTGAGTGAGTGATTGAGTGTGAGAGAGTGATTGAGTGTGAGAGAGTGATTGAGTGTGAGAGAGTGATTGAGTGTGAGAGAGTGAGTGAGTGAGAGAGTGAGTGAGTGTGAGAGAGTGAGTGAGTGTGAGAGAGTGATGAGTAGTGAGTGTGAGTGAGTGAGTATGAGAGAGTGAGTGAGTGAGAGAGTGAGTGTGAGAGTGAGTGAGTGAATGTGAGAGGTGAATGGAGAGAGTTAGTGTGAGAGTGAGTGAGTGAGTGTGAGAGAGTGTGAGTGAGTGAGTGAGTGAGTGAGTGAGTGAGTGAGTGTGAGAGAGTGAGTGAGTGGTGGAGAGAGTGAGTGAGAGTGTGAGAGAGTGAGTGAGTGAGTGAGGTGAGAGAGTGAGTGAGTGAGTGTGAGAGAGTGAGTGAGTGAGTGTGAGAGAGTGATTGAGTGAGTGAGTGTGGAGAGTGAGTGAGAGTTTGTGAATGTGTGTGCATGTACATGTGTCTTTGTGTGTGTGCATGTACATGTGTCTTTGTGTTGTGCATGTAACATGTGTCTTTGTGTGTGCATGTACATGTGTCTTTGGTGTGTGCATGTACATGTGTCTTTGTGTGTGTGTGTGTGTGTGTACATGTGTCTTTGTGTGTGTTCATGTGTGTGTGTGTTCCTGTGTGTGTGTGTTTGAGAGAGTGGTGAGTGAGTGGAGTGTGAGAGAGTGAGTGAGTGAGTGTGAGAGATGTGAGAGAGTGAGTGAGTGAGTGAGTGAGTGTGAGAGAGTGAGTGAGTGTGAGAGAGTGAGTGAGTGAGTGAGTGTGAGTGAGTGAGTGAGTGTGAGAGAGTGAGTGAGTGTGAGTGAGTGAGTGAGTGAGTGTGAGAGAGTGAGTGTGAGAGAGTGAGTGAGTGTGAGAGAGTGAGTAAGTGTGAGAGAGTGAGAGAGTAAGTGAGTGTGAGAGAGTGAGAGAGTAAGTGAGTGTGAAGAGTAAGTGAGAGAGAGAGTGATTGAGAGTGAGTGTAGAAAGTGAGTGAGTGAGTGTGAGAAAGTGAGTGAGTGAGTGTGAGAGTGAGTGAGTGAGTGTGAGAAAGTGAGTGAGTGAGTGAGTGAGTGTGAGAAAGTGAGTGAGTGAGTGTGAGAAAGTGATTGAGTGTGAGTGGAGTGAGTGAGTGAGTGTGAGAGAGTGAGTGAGTGAGTGAGTGTGAGAGAGTGAGTGAGTGAGTGAGTGTGAGAGAGTGAGTGAGTGAGTGAGTGTGAGAGAGTGAGTGAGTGATTGAGTGTGAGAGAGTGAGTGAGTGATTGAGTGTGAGAGAGTGATTGAGTGTGAGAGAGTGGAGGAGTGAGAGAGAGAGAGTGTGAGAGAGTGAGGGAGTGAGAGAGAGAGAGTGTGAGAGAGTGAGTGAGTGAGAGAGTGAGTGAGTGTGAGAGAGTGAGTGAGTGTGAGAGAGTGAGTGAGTGAGTGTGAGTGAGTGAGTATGAGAGAGTGAGTGAGTGAGTGAGTGAGTGAGTGAGTGAGAGAGTGAGTGTGAGAGTGAGTGAGTGAATGTGAGAGAGTGAATGTGAGAGAGTTAGTGTGAGAGTGAGTGAGTGAGTGTGAGAGAGTGTGAGTGAGTGTGAGAGAGTGAGTGAGTGAGTGAGTGAGTGTGAGTGAGTGAGTGAGTGAGTGAGTGAGTGAGAGAGTGAGTGAGTGAGTGTGAGAGAGTGAGTGAGTGAGTGTGAGAGAGTGAGTGAGTGAGTGTGAGAGAGTGAGTGAGTGAGTGTGAGAGAGTGAGTGAGTGAGTGAGTGTGAGAGAGTGAGTGAGTGAGTGAGTGTGTGTGAGTGAGTTTGTGAATGTGTGTGCATGTACATGTGTCTTTGTGTGTGTGCATGTACATGTGTCTTTGTGTGTGTGCATGTACATGTGTCTTTGTGTGTGCATGTACATGTGTCTTTGTGTGTGTGCATGTACATTGTCTTTGTGTGTGTGTGTGTGTGTGTACATGTGGTCTTTGTGTGTGTTCATGTGTGTGTGTGTTTCTGTGTGTGTTGTGTTTGAGTGAGTGAGTGTGCACACTTCAGTTTGCACATTTCATTAGATTTAATTGTAATGGGAGTGTGAGATGCATGATTATGATGCTGCTGCTCTCCTCAAGCATCAAGCAAATATAAGGTGTAGAAAAAACTGAAGACCATGAAAAATCTTGTGTTGCATGTATAGAATTTTCTGAAAATTTATGAGAAAATGATTGCAGGAAGGGCAGTGCAACAAAGTTTTTGATTAAGAACCAAAAATTAAGAAACTGTTTACAGTCCATTGGAATGTGTTTTAGGGAGCACTTAATATTTGCATATACACTATATGTGCATATCTCTTCTCTTCTATTTTGTTCTATCTCTTCCTCTCCTCGCCTCTCCCTTTCCTCTCCTCACCTCTCTCTCCTCCTGTATAATGACACAAGTTGTGGCCTTGAAAATTATTTAAGAATACAGACGTTTGATGTCTGAAGGTCTTTGCTCTAAATCCTTTGATGTCCTTTCTTGTTTTTTGGATGGAAGAACCCTTTGAAAATGAGGCTTTGAGTCCCTACCATGAGTTTCAGATTCAGCTCAGAGATGGTAAAGTTAGGTTCTTTAGGTTGTCCTCTCTAAAGTGACCTGAAAGATGTCAAGATATGAACTTCTTTACATTTAATGGGAATGTTCCTGAAATATTGTTTGTTTGAATTCTGTAATTTGCTTAATATGCTTATGCTGAGTGGTATCTTTCAGGTCACAGAGTTGTATACGTGTGGGTGAAGTGAGCGCAGGCGTAACTGAACACCAGACAGGAGCTATTGCAGGGAGTAGACAACATGGCTTCCAATGAGATACATCTTGATGGCCCCAGCACACGCATGGGAGGGAGTCAAGAGAGCACATCCTATTGTACTCAATGGTCTTGAAGATACAGCTGAAGAGATAAATTCCGATTATCTGTGTCCAGTGTGCCTTGACCTCATCTCAGAGGCACATGTAACCAAGTGTGGCCATACTTTCTGTCATGCATGCTTAGTGTGCAGTATAGAGACTGATAAGCGCTGTCCCAAGTGCAATTTTGCTATTGATAGTGTAGAAAACATTTTTCCAAATCACACTGTGAACCAACAAATTTTAAACAGCGTCGTGCTGTGGATCTGCAAACAGCCTTTGCAAAAAGACACAAGTCAGCGGCACTTAGTGAACTACGGAACTACCTAAGCTTTGATTCCTCTTGTCTTAGTGTTAGTGATATATCTGACCTTACTAGTATTCTACAGGAGAAAAGAGATCAGATGGAAAATGCCTCTAAGCGTAACAAGTATGAACTCATGAAGGACTTCTTGTCTGAACTAAGAAAACACAAAGAGGAACAGCTGGATACAATAAGCAGGGAGTTAAAACTCATAACTCATGATTTGTCAAGCGTACAAACAAATCTTGAAAGTGTCTCACCATACAGTGATAGTCTAGTTAGTTGTGTTCCCCAAGGAAATAGTGTGCCAAATTCTAGCGGTGTGTTTGCTGAACGAGATTCTCGATGCTGACTGCCCAGGAACCTCTAATGGTTCACAGGATTCACGAAGCCCCACAGAAGAAGGATTCAATGTACCCTTATTCAGCCAGGCAAACCCCCAAACCTCCACCATAAGATGCAAAGCGGAAGCGAATGCATCTTCATTTTAAGGAGTTGGTGGAACGATACTTCAGCATGCGTGTTCCTGGGTTCAGTGACTCTGGGTTGAGGAAGGGAAGGGAATGGTCTTGAACAGTTTGGAGAATGCATTAGTAAGTTTACCCAGTATAGTAGCATGCGACCTCTGGCTACAATTAATTATAACTGTGATATGTTTCATCAGTCAAGTAACATTGCATCTAGTATAGAATTTGATAAGGACAGTGAATTTTTTGCAGTGGCAGGTTTGACAAGAAAGATCCGTATTTTTGACTATGGCACAGTAATAAGAGATACAGTAGACCTGCACTATCCATGCTCAGAGATGATCTGTCCCTCAAAGATTAGCTGTGTTAGCTGGAATAATTATATGAAGCATATGTTAGCTAGCAGTGATTACAATGGAACAGTCACTGTTTGGGATGCTTTCACTGCCCAGCGGTTACATGTTTTCAAGAGCATGAGAAAAGGTGCTGGAGTGTAGACTTTAACAGAATGGACACAAAGCTTGTGGCCTCTGGCAGTGATGATCACAAAGTAAAACTGTGGTCATTAGATAGTGAGAGGTCATTGACATGCCTGGAAGCCAAAGCAAATGTATGTTGTGTGCAGTTCAATCCTGCCAGTCGTTATCATTTGGCATTTGGGTCTGCTGACCACTGTGTTCATTACTATGACCTTCGAAACCTAAAGGAAGCAGTAAGGGTGTTCAAAGGTCATCGTAAAGCTGTATCATATGTCAAGTTTATTTCCAGTGAAGATATTGTTTCAGCATCAACTGACAGCCAGCTGAAAATCTGGAATGTGAACAGTGCTCACTGTGTGAGATCCCTACAGGGACATACAAATGAGAAGAATTTTGTTGGGTTGGCAACTGATGGTGAATATGTGGCTTGTGGTTCAGAGAATAATTCCCTCTATGTTTACTATAAGGGACTGTCTAAAAAACTATTTAGCCTAAAGTTCGATCAGAGGAAGTGGTTTTTAGATCCTGAGCAGAAGGAAGAGGAATCCACAGAGTTGTGTCTGCTGTCTGCTGGCGGAAAGGATCTAACATCATAGCTGCTGGCAACAGCAAAGGCATCATAAAGATTCTGCAGATGGTGTAGATGACAGAGTTGCAATGACTTAAGACCTGTTCAAAGATGCATATATAATGATGTGGTTAGGAAAGGATGGTTAGAATGATCAATGTAATTGAAGACAAGTTTTATTTGGTGGTGAGGTGTTCCTTGTGCTTTTTACACCTCTTGGTATTTGTATCCCTATTTCTTTTTCTCTTAACTTTGGCCCTTCTTTTTTGATATTTGGGAAGGGTCATGGAAATATTTAAAGGAAGAAATT